AATAAAAATGTGATACTAACTTTCTGAACAGAAGAGTGGAGTTTAACTTATATGAAAAATAAATTATAATAACATATATTTGTGAAGATATAGAAATGACCGATTAAACAAGATTGGATGGTGTAAAAGTTGAAACTTGTTGTAGAGACCAATTACCCTAACATCAAACTGATATTATTTGCACTCGACGGGCGTTTCGCTAACAGCGATGTTGCTAAACCCTTATCTGCTCTAATATGGGTTCAGTGTTTATTAGATGGCAGCACTTGACGGGTGAAAATTCATTGAATAAGGAAAACACGTTTTATAGATTAGTCAAACATTATTTCATACTTTATTTTGTGAAGAAGTTGACAATATTTAATCGTACAATGTCACTATCTTAAAAATTTTGAAATTCGTCGAAGGAATAAAAAGTTAAAAACATGTTTGAAAAAATAAATGAAAAACAATGAGTTAGCGACATTCTTCGTTACATTATCGATAACTTTCCCCTATACATATTTTTTATGTAACATCTCATTTCTTCACAAAGTGTTTTTGCGATTTTCAATATGGCGCTGCCACTCCACAGGGCCCTTAACTGTTGAAATACTGAAGATAATTAGTTGCAAATGTGATTGTCTCAATTTATTGGAAGAAGAAAAATGGAACAAGAGGTTGAAACCATTATATAATAAATAATTTTCACGGATCTGAAATTGAAAAATTTCTTGATAGATTTAGTCAAAAAAAATACAACTGCTGGAAGTACTGAGGAAGAGTCATTTGAAAAAAATAACCAGTCAAAAGGTCTCTCGAAGCAAGGTAAAAAAATTTCATTTAGTATTTGAGGCTAACATATTCAGAAATACAGAACCTCGCAATTCTTCCTGTGAATCAATGTAAATCTTCAATCTGGAAAGAAGATACTTGATGAAAATCCATAACTAACATATGCAAAAAACACTTTATTGTGAGATTTTCACTAAACGATTTTACAAAAACGCAACAAGTGTTTCGCCATACAATGGCTTCTTCGGGCGTGTCTTTACTAGTAAAGACACTCATCGATATTATTCCCAAGAATTTTGTAGAAATCTTATTTTCCACTAGTGTACTTTCCATATGAATTTCTGGTAGATTGCATTTAAATGTGACTACATTAGTTTTTTTTGTGTTAAATGACAGCAGATTTGCATTGCACCATTGTTTAATTTCGCTGAAGTCATTACAGATGCTTTCATATAAATATTGTTGATTTTCATTATGCCACAAAAGTGTGGTATCATCTGCAAAAATGTTGAAACTACCAGAAATACGTACAGTAGCCAGGTCATTTAGTAAAAACAGTAGCTAGTAAAAAAAAGTATGGGTTCTAAGATCGATCCTTGGGGCACTTCTGTTTTCACATTCTTTGTACTTGAGCAACTATTGATTTTAACAAATTGTCTACGTCTTGTAAGGTAGGATGCAAACCATTTGAGGCAGTTTCCAGCAATTCCATAATGATGTAGCTTTCACAACAGTATTCTGTGGTCAACACAATCAAATGCTTTTGACAAGTCACTGAATTTATGATGCACTGTTTGGAACCTTTGGTGTAGTAATGAATATTACTGGAGTTTTTTCCCAACACCAAATCGTTATTTTCAACACCTCGACACGTATTTCGATCACCAAGTGATCATCTTCAAAGAGGAAGATTAAAACAGTTTTAATCTTCCTCTTTGAAGATGACCACTTGCTGATCTGTTTCGATCACCAAGTGATCATCTTCAAAGAGGAAGATTAAAACTCAATCTTTATCTTTGAAGATGATCATTTGGTAATCCAAAACATGTGTCGAGGTGTTAAAAATAATGATTAATGTATGCCTTATGAAGAAAATTAAATATTGCTTCATTAGTGCTTTTGTTTCCCTGAAACCCAAATTGATGAGGAGTGATTATTTTGTTTATATTTAAATTCTCTTATTTCAACTAATTTCTCAATCAACTTTGCAAGAGTTGGTTGTAAAGATATTGGTCTTAGGTTTGATGGATCACCCCCTTAGACAAAGGTATGGCCATTGATGTTTTAAAAACTCCATGCCTGAAAGTTTCGTTTATGAGTTGAACAAGAACCTGTAGAGCGCAATCTGGTAAATTTTCAAATATTCAGATAGTCAAATTGTCAGTTCCAGATGTTTTTTGTTTCTCAGGTAAATGATGATTCTTTTCTGTTCTCTTATATCGGTGATATAAAAAATGCATGGTTTGTTGATTGATACTGTTTGAAGGTACATTATTGGATCTCGTATATGTTTTAAGCTCTCAGTTAATTTCTCAATCATGGAGCAGTAAAAGTCATTAATAGTGTCAGAATGTAGGGAGATATGTGGGAATTTTTGATTATTGTTCATTCCCCTCAAATCATTGACAATATTCCATATTTCTTTCACTTTATTAGTAGCATTAATATATGTCTTTTGCATTTCGTATTACTCCTCTATAGATTTTTCTGTACTTATTGAAATATGTTTCAATAGCAATACAATAGCAATACAAGTATTTCCTTATATATTGAAGGGATCTCATATTTTTTTAAGAAATTTTAATTCCTGTGGTGATCCAAGGTTTTCTATTTTTAATTTTTATTTTCTGAAGTGGAAATGCTATTTTGAAAAATTCACATAATTTTTTGTGTGTCTCCCGTTTAAAATTAGAGCAGAGAGTAAAAAATTTTCTATAATTTTTTTTTACTGAAAAGTCGACAAAACTTAATGTTGATATTTTTATTTCTTGAAATAAACTAATTTTTGAGTGCCTAATGATTTTTTATCTTCAAAATTTATATTCAGATCTCCAGCTAATATTATATTTGATTTTGGTGGTATTTTCGAAAAAAGGTAACCCAACTTATCTAAGAAAATATCAACATGGCAAGTCCGTAAATAAACATCTGAGGATGGTGTACGGTATATACATATTGCAAAAATATTTCTTTTCTGGTAATGTATAACAGACATTTCAAAAGTTTTTTCCTCTATTATGTCGTTGTATCCCAACAATAGTTTTGAAAGACATAGAATTGAGAACTGAATCATGTAGGAGAATGGCTGTACCACCATGACTTCTGCAAAAAATAGACGCTACTGTGTAATCAGAGATCACTAAAGGCTCACCATTTTTGAGCCAGTGCTCTGTCAGGAAAACAACTTTAGGACATTTCTGGTCTGCTAGGAATACATACAATTCGTCCATCTGTTTCGAATTGATTGTATATTTAGACACAAAAGAGTAAGATGTGACTCGTCAGTGATGAGTTGCTTATTTATAAAAAAGAGGCGTTATTACTATTTGGCAGTGAAATATCATGTTGAGTATGCAATGATGTCTGGTATCTCAGGATTTTCAACAACGGCCTGTAACACATCACGCTGACTTTCTTCATTAGATTGCTTTTGTCAGAAAACCACAGGTTTATTAAATGATACTTATTCTTTTAAATTAAGAACTAAACGTCTAAATGTTGATTCACCAGGTCGTCGCCTCTCAGGATACTTATTAGAGTACGCACGTTCAGTATCAACACAATTTCTTTGGCACAAAATGTAACATAACATATAAACTTTTTCAGTATTCAAAAAGCTGCAGTTTTCCATTTTTACCACAAATTTGGTAGGTAATGAGATGTAAAAGTAGGAACGGCAATATGTCAAAAATTCTACCAAACAACAACAGTATTATTATGACAACAGAACATTATGTGTCATTTTATCAGAGCACTATCTAAAATTGAGCAAAAGCAGGTTAAGTAATCACTTTTCATTTTGCGCGCGAAATGATAATGAAATCAGATTGTGTGATACGTTGCTGTATTCACAATGAAAAATGGGGTCGAATACAGGGTATACTTTAGTTTCGGCTCATATAAAAATAAAAAGTTGCTGATGTTTTTTAAAACACGAAACGTCGCAGAAAATTCTGCTTACGTTATCGTGTAGTCCTAAAAAAGTGGCCATGGCAAAGTCCTATTTGTTTTACATTTCCTTTGAAAATAAAGCTCAAATTTCGGTTTTTCTCGGATATCTCCAAAACTACTCGGAATGTTGAAACTTTCTGAATGGCATATTATTAGGTACATAAATGCGCAACTTTTCTCTAATTCAATCGACCCCGTATCACTTACCGTTTCCGATATTCCCATGCTGTTCATTCTTATCTTGCACACAGTGTAGAATGGTTTGAAAAAGCGCTGTTATCACTTCATAGTGAAATTGACTATATACAGTATAAATAAATGTTTTGAAAATACTTTTTGAGTCTTAAATTCCACTACGATGTCAAATTTATTGTATTTTAATCATATCGACCTTTTCATCACTCTGATCCATTAACTGTTAGTGTCATGACTGTTTGATATTTTTAAATTCAACATTAAGACTTTGTCAACAAGAAATGATTTTTATGACAATATAGCATATTCCGATTCTGAGCCTATAGGATCAAGCTGCACTACAACACTAGTTATCATATTTTCATCAATATAGCATTAAAAATGGTTCAGGGCATTTTTCACCTAATAAAAGAATTATCAGAAAAATGGGATATAACTAAAACAAAACTTGTTTCAGATTGGATGTACAAACTGAAGTGGTTTGAGTCCAAAGTCATCCATAGGGAAGAACACTGGTTTACAAAGAGTTTAAAAAATCTGCATAATGAATAAAGTCATTCAGTCAACCCACATTAGAAATTAGAAATATGTTAAAACTCTTAATCGAAATGGGAAACTTGCAGTTCACTAAACTGGAATGAATCATTAATCACTAGAACATCGTAACAATGGAAATGAGTAAGAATTTTTTTCAATTCTTCTTCATTTGTATATCTTTGATATTTTTCTGTTGGTTGCATTTGCTTTACTCTGAATATTTTGATTTTTTTAGATTTGTGTGTTTAAATGAGCATGCAAGTGAAGTCGTGAGTTTGCACATTATAGTAAGAGGAAATAAATATGAAATGAAAACGTCTTACCATTTGATTTAATACACCTTATAAAAAATGGGTTTGCTTGGTTCAAAGTATCCATAAGAGAATGCAAACTCTGCTGAAATTGAGCAGTAACTGTCAAAGGTTGCTTTCTAGCTTTTCCTATTTGACCTTGAGACTGAGCTGTGATTCCAGTTCTTCCTGCCAATGTTTTAACTGATTGCAGATTTTTCCATCCCTTTTTGCTACGTTCCCTTGGACGAAAAGATTTGTTCTTCCTACACAGTAATAAACTTGTATTACTTCTACAATTATTTATTATGTAAAAGTATAAGTAATGAAAAGCATGCAGAGGAACGTGCTGGGAAAACATAGATGCAAAAATTTTGAGGATTGAGCAAGAACAGGAATGTTAAATTTGGAGAACTTGGCACAAATATCACTATTTCTCCAGATTCTTTTGGACAAGCATCAAAATGATATTATATTGTTGCTGATTGTTTATAAATAGCTATTGCTTCAGTTAATGGGTTCCTGATATCACTAGGAAACAACTTGAGATGAAATAAATTAGTTTTCCCAACTGGCCTTACTATCACGAAAAGTTTGGTGATAAAATGAATTGAATTTCTATCAGTACAGAGTTTTTCTTTTGTGTCTGGTTCTCATGGCAAGCATTTGAATGAGTTTACCGCATAATGAAAACGGTAAATACGTATTTCTCTTAGATACCCAAGAGCTTCATAAAAACTAACCATCACCACTTGTTCCATCACCAAAAACTTTCTTTTTTTCGCAACAAAATACACATACATTACAATCTGATTAGCCCTCTGTATAGCCCTAGCTTCATCAGGACCCAACCTTTGAAGCCCCGCAGATGAACTGGCACCTCCATTCGAAGAATCTTTTCTTCTTCTGTCATCATCAGTATTTTTATTATTGCTTCCGCTATTTCTGTTTCGATGGTAAAGTTGTGGCCATGAGAGCCTATTGTTTGAGGATTCGTTGTCTGAGTTACGGCCGATCCGGCTGAATGGCATGGCACTTCGTTGTTTGCTAGTTTTCAGAAGAAAACCGAATGTCAGAAAAAAATACACAATGAAGCAGTGCCGAACGGAAAACGTTACCCTATATTCTTTTTTAAATGAACAAAACTAAATCAATAGAGGATCTGATGAAGTGTAATAAAGGGAAAATTGAAAAGTTAACCCCAAAAAGTTATTGCATAATATGAACCACTGAAGAGTTCAATTAGTCAGTAACTTGTATTCATTAATTTGCCTACAAATTGAGCAACCAATAGAAAAAATGAATTTTATTTACTCAGCTTTAGCTTTTTAAGTGTAATAAAGTAAACGTTTCCCTTCATTACACTTCATCAGATTCTCTATTGATTTAATTTTGTTTTTTTATGTGGAATTTTAAAAACCCAGAGAAGCGGCAAGAATTATTGACTCCTCCACAAAAAATATCTATCAAGTAAGTTACCCTGATACTATTAATTTGCTGAAATCTGCTAATATTTTTTTATCATAAAAAGTAATATTTACAAAATGAAAATCAGTGATATGAAAATAATGGTAAAATTTGAGTTTAGTACAATACAACTGAAAGTGTTAAAACTGGCAGAATATTAAAATTTCAATAGATAGGATAAAAGCGCACAATGAATTCTCCAGGTTATTTCATTAATATGTGATGGAATTGGCAGATCCTTGATTATCCATAATTTATTCAGATAACACTATATTGTGAGATTTTTACTGAACAGTATGTATGAGGAAACTATTATATGTATAGTGAAACATGTGTTGCAGTGTTGTAAACTGTTCAGTGAAAAACTCACAATAAATAGTTACTTCAATACATTATTTCACTAACTTTAACATCGAATTACATAAATTTATGTACTTTCACAAAAGTACAAAATTTAAAAAAATATAAATAAATCTTCCACAAAATAGCTTTCTTTCATGATTGGATTGAAATTTAACGAATTTTGATGCAGAAAAACTGAGGAAATGTTTTGTCAACTATTAGAATAATATGAGTTCATTAAGAATACACATATTTTAAAATCTGATCTTTGTTTTTATTGATATTTCTGAAAGAAAGAAAGTTAGCATACATAAATCAAGTACGGGAAGAAGTTTTTGTGAATTCATAGATAATTTGACTGATTTTAAATGAGTTCTAGCACTATTCAAGATATGTGTGCCCAATTGCTAAAAAATCAAATCAGAGCATTTGAATTTTGAATTATTCGCACACTTGAATTTCATTTCAGTACATATGTATACATATTTTATAATATAAAAGAAAATTAAGTTTGATAACCTGGAGAAATAAAAAATTAAAAGATTTGTAATCAGAAAAACTTTCTGGTTCATCAAACAAGTTTTGGGAAAAATGAAGGAGTAAAATACCATAATTACTAGAAAAGTATTAACTCTTAATTAAAATGTATTACAACCACATTACACATACATTCATTACTTTGAAATTATTACCATATAAAGCCAAATGAACAGATTGAAAGAACAGCAAAATTCAACATGCAATAATGTTTTTGCTCAGGAAATCAACTTCAGGATCACCTTTAATTCTTGTGGTGTGCCAATCAACATAAAAATATCAAATATTGCGTCTTGAAAGATTCAACTGAAATACAACTTATATTGTAAAGTTTTGCTGTTCCTCAATTGTTTAATAAAAATAAAAATCAAATAATTTAAGCAATCCATGAAAGGTAGCTAAGTCATTCCTATCCGATACCATGCAAAAAATCAAATACTAAAATTAATATTTCAGCAAGACAATATTCAAACTAACAAAGTGGACCAATGTTCAACGAAACATTATAAAGAGGACTATAAATGTCAACCGATTCAACTTACGCAATTCTGTTTATTGTTAGATTCACAGCAGAAACTGTCACAAGATGGCTACAGAATCACATTTCATGTTATAAATATAATAAATATTTTGCACAAATAAATACCAAAAGCACAAATCAATAGTATAATAAAGCTGTATGAAGTGAAATATTTGTGACATACATTCTTTAAATAACTTAACTGATAGGATTCATTATGGTAACTCATATTCAGCAATTTTTTAAAATTGTTTTTCAAAAGAGTTGTATTATTTGAAAAAATAACGATTACGTCTGAAAAAGTGAAAATTTATAACAATGAAGAAGCATGTGACACCGCTGAATAATTTTGAAACAAATGCTTATATATCCTACTAAAATTATGTTGAGCTTACCAAGTCTAGTGGGTGTTATGAGATTCAGTGTATTTCACTAGGTTATGTATAAATTATTTTGTTCGTGTATATTGGCTGGCAATAAATTACTATACCAAACTTATTAAGTTTGGGTTGAGAAGGAACGTTCTGCTTTATTATTTCCCCTAATAATCCTTTTTATTATTTCATAATAAAATTTCATAATAAATGTGATTTTTTTTTAACTTTCAGTCACAAACTTTTTGAAGGCAGTATCTCAAAAATGAAAATACTGATTGGTAGCCAGTTGGTCACTGCATTGCATCCAGTATTCAAACTATTAACAACAAAATAAAAAGTGAAACTTCTTGTTTCATACAAGTATCATTTTTGTCCTCACCCAAATTGGCAACAAATATGAATATATACCAAAATCATAAGTTAAAGTTTGTACAGTAAAACCCTGATTTCTCGAAATGAAAGGACGGCTGTTTGGGTTAATGAATTTTTCGATAACATTTATATATGTGTTGTGTTCACAAATATTTCATGAGCCTGAGTAGCCAACAAAAACTGACACCCCAGAAAAAAATTACAGAATAGCCTCCCTAAATAAAAATAATTTCCACCTACCTGATGAGGTTCTCATTGGGTGCATGATTCCTTGAATATCTCTGCTGAATATTATTCCTATTACCATCCACCCTCCCTTGTCGCTGTTTCCTACCCGATTCATGAAAAGCAAAGTAGGCCCTAAAAAAGGCCCTTACAATTGCCCATCTGAAAACGGCAACTGGATCTGCGCCTACCAGCTCCCTAACGAAGGCCATTGAGCTGTTTTTCAACACTCCTACGATATCTTGGCGCATCAGATCCAAATTTTTTTCTCGCATATCCGTTACCTGGTATTTCACTTTTCCTGCATAATGAACTATAATGAATGCACCCTCTTTTTTCTGTGGTTTTTGATAAAACTTGTTGTCTTTGTGGACGGTGTTGAATTTCTGGAGCAGGGTTTCGTTAGTGGCCCCAGGGAAACTAGAAAAAGTTAAATAGAAACTCAAGACTCACATGATGAAAGTAGGTTTTTATATTGGGAAATTATATTTAAAATTAATATAATACATTATATATACTGTCGTCGGTAATTTTCATCTGTTCGACGTTTGGGTTTCTGTTTTGAAGCCATTTTCAAGAAATACTTGGAAACTGAAATTACATGACTTGATGACGGGGGTGTAATCTCCCTGTCCCCCCAAGTCTCGTTCTTCATATGTTCATCTCTAAGTGAACACTGATAACTTTGCTGTTTGAGGCCAGTATTTATGCTGCTGGACAGGTATAAAGTAGAGGTATTGTAACAAGTACCCGACCTGTTGGGAATGGATTCTCGACTTTCTGCTTGACGTGAGTTACTTTGAGATGTGTGACCAGACAATAATAACCTCCATGATTGTGGTAGTCTCTGTGAATCATCTCATTTGTTAAGACAGTCGGAACGTTTTTCAATTTCAATGGCTTCACGAATTATCCCAGCCTGAAGAGTTTTCTCTGTAGCAATGGTTTTGGTGTTTCTGAAGCTTATTGTGTGGCCTGTTGCAAGGTGATGTTTGAAGAGGGATGAGACTGGATTTTATTGGCGAGCAGCTAGTTCATAGGCTCTTTTGGAAATTCTTCTACTGGTCTGACCGATGTAAGTTCTGGGGCAGGTAGAACATGGTATTATGCCCTGTGTCTCATTGCATATTGTGTCTTTGGGTGTTCGTAAAACAGTGGAGATTTGATTGTTGGCTGTGAATATTGTTCTTACGTTGTACTAACGATTAGTTTGACTATTTTCTAGAAATGCCACTGAAAATAGTTAACGAATGTTCTTCATAAAAGACGAAACTACAGTTAAAACTAAATAATTCTATTGACTTAAATAAAAATAATCGAAACGTTAACGTCACACACGAAATAAAAACTGCAAAAAAACCTAATAACATATGACTTTAAATGACAAGAAAAAAATACTATTCGAGTGAAATAGAATAATCGGCAAATAAACCTAGGATCCATTTGGCGTATTATCAAGCAGCCTTTTTCCAAAAACTTCTCGTGAGATGCTCAATTCTCATCTGAGGAATTCAACGACTATTTTGTGAACATTAGTCAGAATATTTTTTTATAACTACCAAGTACTCACAAGGACCCAGTAGAACTCTCATCACCTTATATATTATTCCATAAAAGCATTTTCTTCAGAAGTAAGTAATATTATAGCAAATCTATCTGATAGTACTGCTCTTGATGTATATGGACTAAGTAATAAAATATTAAAGAGCTTGAAAGAGGTACTTGTGATGCACTGTTAGGAACATTTGGAGTAATAAATATTACTGGAGTTTTGTCCCAACACCAAACCATTATTTCAACACCTCGACACGTGTTTCGATTACCAAGTGATCAATTAATCTTCCTCTTTTTCAAGATGATCACTTGGTGATCGAAACACGTGTCAAGGTGTTAAAATAACGTTAGAATATTGGGGAAAATAAAGCGGATTGACAGCTGTACACCATTATTAAAAAAAGTTGATATATCGACTATTCCAGCTTTATACATATTTCAATGTTTTGTCTACATCAAAACACAAAACAATACTACAGTAAACATCAATCATGAATATTCAACCAGACATAGCGACATGCTCTTTATGCAACAGCATCGCCTGGCAATCCTATTGAAGTTTATTGATGTAAATTCACTCGACTTGCGCTCGCGGCCGTTCTAGACGTGGCGTTGCATCGATGGAATTCCGACGAATTTTCTACCGCCTTCGATTGTCATATGTAAATGTTACAAGCATATCGATATATTGAAGTTTCGTGGACAGTGCAGTATAGAGCGATCGAACAAGACGATAGACATTTTGAATAATAGTTGAAGTTTTAGTTAAAGTGTTTGGTTGTATTAACAGTGAAATAAAATTAATTTTAATTATTGTACAGTGTAGTCATTTATTGGTAAACCCACGAAAAAAAAGCATAACATTTGTAGTCGGAAGTGGAATAATTGACTGAAAATTTTCTGTTTTTTGTGAAAATAAAGAGTGTCGATTACGACGAGATGGAAGACCTTAAAAAAATGTTCGAGGCTTTGCAAGCCAGCATGGCGGATAAGAGAAGAAGACGAACGCAGCGAAGAGGAAGATGAACGCAGAAGGTAGGAAGATGAACGAAGGAAGGACGAAGAACGATTACGCCGAAATGAATAAGATGAACGAAGGAGAGAGGAAGAACGATTACGTCGAAATGAAGATCGTGAATTACAACTACAATGAGATTGTACCTTAATTTATTTGAAGATTTTAAAACTACTCAGGTGAGTAAAGACGAGGTACAGGAATTCATTCAGGGAGGATTGGAAAAAGCAGTCGATGAGAAACTTGAGGGGTTGAAAGGACATTTGAAGATGAGCTTAAAGAAGTCGGAAAGATATTTGAAGAGGAGCTTGAAGGGGTCGAAAAGAAATTTGAAGAGGAGCTTGAAGGAGTTGAAAGGAAATTTGAAAAGAAGCTGGAAGGAGTCGACAAAAAATTTGAAGAGGTTTTTCGGTAACTTCTAAAAAAATCACCGGGGCCGAAAAGGATTACTGTGGAAAAATGCAAATCGGAAACGATATCTCTCCCTTCTAGCAGTAGTTTTATTGAAACTCCAACCTTCGATGGTGAATCTTCATGGTCAATTTATCGCAGACAATTTGAGACCGCTACGGAAAATAATGGGTGGAGAAATGAGGAGAAAGTAACAGCTCTCAAACTGGCACTACGAGGAAAGGCCTCCAAAATTCTGCAAAATATTCCAGCGAGTAAGCAGAAGAAGTATTTAGCATTCGGGTCAACGTTGGAGATCAGGTATGGTAGCGAACACCCTCAACAAGTCTACCAAGCTCAACTGAAGGTGAGAACTCAAGGTCTATCCGAGAGTCTGCAGAACCAGAAGCACCTGATAACGTCACCCACTGGATAGTATCCATAGTTTCATTCACGGGGTTCGTGGCACGGAGCTGCAGCAGTCGCTGAGGATGACACATCATAAAAAATTCGTAGGGAAAGAGTACGATATGTTTGTGAAGGGCAAAATCATTGGTCGAACGGTTTTAGTTCAACATCGGAGCGATACTGGCGATGCCAAGCCCATACACCAATCACCGAGACGCCATCCCTTCGCAAAGCTTAATCCATCGTTAAGGGCAAACATCCCCTGGTCATCACATGTTCTGTTGGTAACTAAGAAAGATATATCGACGTAAATTCTTGATCAGGTCAGATCACTAATTACTCTGGTGGCTCTTCAACTTCAAAACCCCAGTAGGACAAATAGCCAGGTGAATCGAAAAATTACAAAAATGATTTTGAAATTCAACATTAGAAAAGAAAGAGTGACAAGGTAGCGGTCAGAGACTCCTTTATGGACAGCTCTGGTAGGAAGGTAAGCGCCCCTACCTCCAGCTGCTTCGGGTTCCCTCTGACCCGGAGGGTAGCAACCTGTGAGGGCCCCTTGTCCAGGGATACGGACAGAAGATGTGGATACCACTTGACCATGGTATGGTACAATCGTTAATAGCCTCCGAAGGTGACACTACCTTCATGACGAAGCAAGATATCATCATAGCGCAGAAGGAGGACTCAGTCTTTAAAACTGTACGAGAATGGATTGACAAAGTAGTGAGGTCGGAATGGCAAGAGATATCCAAGAATTGCCAGTAGGAAAATAGTTAGCCAGCAGGAAAAGGGTTACTGGCTCCAATGGGACTCTATGTGCATTTGAGATGACCTACTCACTCGGAAATGGGAATATGGTATTTTATGCGACAGAAAAATTGGGTTGTTTTCCTTCAGTAATACCGTTAACGCTGAACGATTATTGAATTTTTTTGATAACAAATTATGGGAAATCATTGAAAATTTACCACTCAATGTGCGACAAGTGATGTTCTTTCAACTAAATGGAGCTTCCGTTCATAATTCTTGGATGGTTCGAGACTGGTTAAACGAACATTTTCCATTACGTAGGATTAGTGGAAATAGCCCATATTAACAATGGCCTCCTCGCTCTCCCGACATAACTCCAATGGATTTTCACTTCTGGGGAACCGTCAAGAATAAGATTTACAAGTTTAGGCCACGAAATCGACATGAACTTTGTGAGAGACTACGGCAAGCCTGCCGCGAAATAACTATTACAGAACTTAGGAGAGTGGCCAATAATGAAAGAAAAAGAATTGAAAAATGTATCAGAATTGAGGGCGGGCCAGTTGAGAAAGACACCATTTGGAATTGACTTCCAATATTAGTGTTTATTGCATTTCCTGCTGAATTCCCTTCATTAATGGTCATTTAATTTTGATTGATGTCTTTGTGGCTCTTTAGTAGCTATTAATCAAAATTTGAATCGGACTTGAATATAAAAATTACAAAAAAAAAACAAAATTTGAATTTTGCGTTGAAATTCGATATGTAGGTTCAAAATCGATTTCTAAGCATTTTTTTTAATAACTTATTTCGGTATCATCAACGCGAAACAAAATATAGAGAATTTTCCTTTTTAGCAGGAACACAGTAGACTGGGATTAAGGCTGTCTGTCACTAGGGCTGAGTATTCCGAAAAATGCGGCCGACGAAGGTCTATGCCTGTGCCAAAAATTAAGTATCTGCTTTCAAAAAATGACTAAAATACAGGGGTGTCTTCATCTAAAATATGTGTTACACTGTATATGTACACGAATACTTGATGAAAATCCATAATGTATTTAAGAAACACTTTATTGTGAGATTTCCATTACACAGTTTTACAAAAACATAACATATATTTCGTTATACAATATCTTCTTCGGGCGTGTGTTTAGACTAACTACATATTCAATGCTTTATATATTTTTACAATTTGAAGTATCCGACTTTAAGAATTAATCAATCAACATAATTATTACAAAATAAATGTTATAAACTGATTCAAATAAACATGTAATGAATGAAATTACTTCAGTTTATA